CCTTACAAAGTGGTGGCTCCTTTACAAACTTTTACAAATTGGTGGCACTGTTACAAACTGGGTGCCATCTTTGCACCACCATACTTCCCTCAACGTCCCTGTCATCTGACAATCTGCTAACCCTCCACTCTCACAATCCAGAAAACCAAACTGGGTTCATAAGGAGCCCAGAAAGCTTCTTATGAACTCCTCAGATCTCCATGCTGAGGCTAGTTGAAACAAGATTGTAGTTGGGTATAAGAAAGGCATCCCTACCAACTATTTCCTGCAAATGGAGAGTCAATAGATGAGGCAGGTTTTAGGAGCAGGGGGAGGAAAGGAGATTTGATAATTGGTCAACCAAGTCTCTTTAGCAAAGCACCTTTGGCCAGGACAATGACATACTAGAAAGTAGGTATTCCTTATGGCTCCCACTTTATCCTAGGAACATCTTAATCTCTTGTCTAGATTAAGAAAGCTAACAATCCATGGAGGAACAGCAAGGATCATCTGGCCTAGTGCTCCTGGTCAGTATCATTCCTGGTCAAGATAGATCGGATTTATCCCATATCCATACAAGAGCTATTTAAAGAAAGCAAGAGTACCAGAGAGTCCTTGGATTTGGATGCATAATCAGTATTTGAGAGGAGTAAGTGGCAAGATTGCCTGATATCAATGCACATGCCTTAATCTCCTTTGTCATTGGATGTGGGATGTGCTGTGACCATGAGGATGGGCATGTCAGGGAAGACATGTATGCACTTGGCTGTTTGTTTTGCCTTGTGCCTCGGCCTGTAATTGTGGATAGTAAATTGTTCATGCAATCCCTGTGGTTGTAGTAGAGTGCTTGAGCAATACAAGAGGCATCAGATGGGGATGAATGGCTCGGCTGTATGGGGAGATACTGTTTGGAGGGGAAGAGTGTTAGAACAGGGCAGTCCAGACAAAACACAAATGGTATTTATATGTGTGTATATACACAAACATACATACGTATGTGTGCACACACATCAAAAGGCATGAAGAGGAGTCATGGGTGCTAGTTGCAGCAGTTCCATACCAGACCTCATATTTCCAGGCCATTCAGTGGTCTTTAAAGGTTCTCCCATGTATCTCAGTGTATTGTTCAGTTAAATGCTAGTGGGGCTGTTTGGTTTGAACTGTGAAATTTATTATTGTTTATTACCATTACTTTTACTGTTTATTTCAAGGTTTTAAAATTAGTTGTATATTACCATACAACTGCTTACTATAAAAGGCAACTTTTACATATATCCAGTCCATCAGCCACTTGTATTTCCCCTTCCCTTGCATATTGTTTGGGAAGGGCTTTATGCCACCACTTCAGTTGTTGGAAGGGAGTTGGGAATCTGTTAGCCTATGTCTGCAAAAAAAAAAAAAAAAAAAAAACCCACAAAAACAAAAAACCCCTGTGAGATCAATGTGGATTAAATGCATGAAGAAAAAAATGTCATGCATTTGTTTCTTCTTTGTGATGCCCCTGTCGTTTAGCTGAGCCTTGCAGTTCAGGTCACCCAAGCAAGTCAATTTAACCTATTGGTTGTCTTCATACTGATAGCAACATACCCATTTCTAACTAATGGTTTTGCCCTGTTTCAGTCAGTATGTTTCCTCGCTGGCCACTTCTACTAACAGAGTATTCTGCCAGTATATCTGAGATATATTCCACAGCCCCTGAAATATCTGTCATGTCAGCTGCATATCTTGCATTTTTCAATAGCTGTGAATTTCTGTTGCATCTTGTGGTCCCTTCCTCCACAACCTGATGCCCTCCAGATTTGTTGAATAGTAAGATTATGGGAATCATAGTCTAGCATATATAGTCTAGCAAAGAAGCAGGTTGGAAAAGGCTACTCCAGGTTCTTAGCAGATAAATTTCAACTTTTGCTCTTAGCAACTTTTCTAAGTAGCTGTATAAGACTATAAATGTTTGTAGTACTCATGTGCATATTAAGGAACACTGCTAAATTTAATAATTCTCTTGTATACAAAGAAACAGGAAAAACTATATTTATCATAGTCGTGTGGTCAGATATTATTTTCATAGTCGCGATGCAATCATTCAACCTGTTGATTTCATTGACTGTCATGCGTAGGTGTGTGCTTGCAGTAATAGCCATCCATTTCTTTTTGTGTTAGTGCCCATGATAATATAGCTTGTATCCATCACCAATATCTCTGGCTTGACTTCCCTTCAATTTTGTCTTTTGAAGACAAGCCAGGTCAACTTTGTGACTTTTTAAGGCATTTGCCGATTCACGGATTTGTCCAGTTAGTGTTCCTATGTTTAAGGTTGCTAAACATTATGGGACTAGCTTTTTTAGCCTATCTTGTTTTTAGATAGGTAGTCCTGTCTTTTTATGTCCCTAGCGGGTTTCAATGGTGCACATTACCTGAGGGGGACACCTTAGTTGTATTTGGGATTAGTGATTTTGACAAGTTTCATAGTTGATGTGACTGTTTTTATTGCAGCTGGCACGTCGCACTGCCTATCACTGTAGACTGTTGCCCCATTGGTTGGTTACTCATCTGGCACCACTGGAAGGTGGGGTCAGGTTTTTGCTGGCCATCTATCTAAATATGGATACACACATACATACATACATACACACACACACACACACACACACACACATACAACTAGCTTACAGTGRACAAGAGAGCAATATGGAGAATAACTGAGGAGGAGGGCAGAAAATAAAAACAGGAGGAGAAGGAGCATTGGTCGATGTGCCTGTGGGCATGTGCAGAGCCCCCTCTGGACGCTTGGTGGTGGCACTAAAAAAAACTCCCCCCCCTCCCCCCCCCCTCCATTGTTAGCCTGAGGGAGACAGGCATTCATTGGGTTGTCCTTTCTCTCAGTGTAGGTGCTATCTAAATACATAGTAATCATATCTGGGCAACCTTTTTATTCTTCTTTTCCTTCATATTCCTTCCCTGATGGCAACTAACCAGCCCACAAAACTAGTTGGGATGCATTCCTGAGGAGGGAGAAAGTAAAAGTGGGGAGAAATGGAAAGAGAAATAGAAAGAGAAAATTTCAGTCTTGGAACAGAGGGACTTGTGGGACTCAGGGCTGAAGCCAATGTTGAGGAAAGTGAGGAAGACTGAGAGCATCCCAGAGAAACGAAGCCAAGTAAAAAAAAAGAGAGATGGAATAATAATAATAATAATAATAATAATAATAATAATAATAATAATATAACACTTTATTTGTACCCCGCTATCATCTCCCCAAGGGACTCGGTGCGGCTTATATACAACAATACAGGCAATAAACAACAGTACAAGCAATTAAAAATAAAAAACATAGACAATAAAAATATACAACATTATCAATAAGACAACTCACAATTAAAAACAGTTGGAAGGCCAAATGTACAGTTAAAATTGGAAATAATGATGGGACATAGACGAAAAGGAGATCGTGGTGTTTGTGGAAAAGAGGAGGTGCTGACTAGGCTCCTCGTTTTCCTTCTTCTGTTCCCACCACAGCCCTTCCTTACCTCAATCTTCTCAGTAGGACAGCCTCCATCTGACAGATTCCTGCCAAATATTTCATGAACCCCACATAACTTAATGTGATCCCATTTGAGGTTGCGACCCACATTATAAGGCACTTTGATATAGACCAGAACAACCTGTGACCCTGCCGGTCTTTGGGCCTCCAACTCCCAGAAACTGTGGTCAATTTGTCCAATGGTCAGGAATTCTGGGAGTGAAAGTCCAAAACATATGGAGGGCCACAGGTTGTGCAGGCCTGATACAGAACATCAATCTATTCTGGGGCGGCATCGTTCACACTTTGATACAACTTATGTGAGCAATTTATACAATTGAATTGAAAATATAATCGTGCCATTGGGTTGCTGTGAGTTTTCCGGGCTGTATGGCTATGTTTCAGATGCATTCTCTCGTGATGTTTCACGCACAGGCATCCTCAGAGGTTGTGAGGTCTGAGGATGCCTGCCATGGATGTGGGCGAAACATCAGGAGAGAATTCTTCTGGAATATGGCCATACAGCCTGGGAAACTCGCATCAATCCAGTGATTTTGGCCATGAAACCCTTCGACAACACAACTCTACTACTATTGGATCAACTGTGTGATAGAATATTTGGTTAATTGGTTGTTTCCATTCACCCCCAGTTAATATCTGGAAAATAAGAAAAGGTTTCTTGAGGAAGGACTTAAGAGAACTGTGAATTTTTTCACTTTTTGTGTCAAGCTTGGCAGCTATCTGTTAATCGTGTGGACATTTTTATCCCATCATTCCTCCATGAAGTACAAAGAAAACTACTGCATATGGAATCCTGTAAATGGCTTGCATTCAAGCATTGGTCAAATCCTGAGCTGTGCAATTTCTGAGATCAAGCCTAAAGTGCATCCTGATATTGCTGTCACATATTTTCAATTCATTTCCCAGTACACAGTTGTTTCTCCAAAGTGGGAAGATCTTAATACTCCAAGCAGTCGTTAATTTAAGTTCTCTGTTTCAAAAGAAGTTACGGGGGGGAGCGGGGGAGAGAAACCCAGTTCAGTATGTTTCCAGTTTGCATCCGTATGTCCTCAGGCAAACAACTCTACTGGAACTCCTTCCTCATAAACTGTTAGAACTATAATTCTTCCCATTTATGATTTGCCTATGTACATCTCCTTTCTTGGGTCTGTGAACACTTTGAAATCAATAGGATTTAAGAGTACTGTACGCTTGACTGTGGCCATAAAGTATGGGTACCTGTCAACGTCAGATTATGTTTTGAAAACCATTCCATTTTTAAAAATCTGATACAATAATTGGGAAACTGTATGATGGGGGTTGAACTGATTCCTGGATAACTCTAAAAGTGTGTTGTTGACACCCAACTGATATGGAGCTTCCTATTTATAACATGGGCCAAGCACCATGCTGTAAACCATTTACTATCATGATGATCAGATTGAGAATGAAATTGCATTTCTGTCAATTACTGAGTTGGCAACTGTTCAATATATCTTAGCAGCAAGATGAAGAACGGCGTCGGCAGCTGAGAGAGAGAGCTCGTCAGCTAATAGCAGAAGCTCGATCTGGAGTGAAGATGTCAGAACTTCCCAGCTACAGTGAAATGGCTGCAGAAAAGTTGAAAGAAAGGTCAATGGCATCTGGAGGTGAGTTAAGGAACCTCATATCTCATTCCTATGGCAACCCAGAAACCCGAGGAAGACCTTTTTGAAATTTACTTTTATTCAGACTTCAAAATGATCGCACAGGTAATTGTTGTTAACCAAAAACACATATCTACAGATAGGTGGCATACCTTATAATTCCATGCAGTCAAAAGACTAGTGCTTCACCTTGCAACTTGAATAAAAAATGTTAAGCCAAAGTTAAGATGTAGCTAAAAGTAGAGCATCTCCACTTGCCCACCCGCCTATTCAGGGAGCCAACATACACTTGGGAATCAGGAATGGCCCAGAATTCCTATTTAGAATAGCAGTTGTCAGGCTCACCTTCCTGGTATGCCCTAATTTGTGTTTAAAACTGATGGAGCCATCCCTACTTAGCAGACTACACTAGGCAAATTTATATCCTTGTGGTAGGCTCATTCAATTCACTATCAATGTGCTAAATATATTTTCCCTTTCAGTTTGTATTATTTTCATTTTTCCATTTTCTGTGCTAACTTGATTTTTCTTTTATCTCTTATCTCTGCATTGGAATTCAGCAGAATTTGCAGATTGCCAGATATACCCGTATATGAGTCAACTTCATTTATAAATTGAGGGCAGATTTTACAGGCCAAAATTAAGCATTTTGCTGTGATACTAGTATAAATAAAAGTTAGGAGCATATAACAAAATAAATATTTGAAATGCATAGAGGGAACATTCATAGGGAGAGGGAAGAGAAAAAAAGGGTCTTCTTATTTGAAGAGTTACAATTTGGGGAGTGTAAATTGCATTGCTCATCTTAAAAAGTCTACAGCTATGCAAATGTAGATAGGAAAAGAAATGTAAATGAGAAGAGAACTAGAATTCATCCTGAAAAGATGGCGGAGGGCAAGGAAGGGACACCCTGAGTCCCCACTGGGAGATAGGGTAGAATATTATTATTATTATTATTATTATTATTATTATTATTATTATTATTAACACAGTAACAAAAGGCAGAAACAAGAAGCCCCTGTTGGCATGGTATGGCCTGGAAACATACCCCTCCCTTTCCCAAACCAGAGAGAGGAAAGGCAGCCCTCCCTCTTTCCTCCATCATCTTCTTTCTTCAGCCCAAGCAGTGTTGCCAGACCCCAAAGAATATAGTATGCTCACCATTTCGGCACTTGTGGTGTGGAATGGTAGAGGCCATTTTTAATAGGGGCTTGTGAATAAGCCTCACCTGCCAAGCCTTGCAAGGCTTATAGAGTAAGCCCTATGAAAAATTGCCATGGTCATTTTACTTCCCCTCAAATTGGAGGGGAGCACAGAGTTCATCGACATGTTTTTCCAGAATTGACCCAGTATAAGTCAACCCAGGTTTTTGAGTCAATTTTTGTCGTTAAGTTTTACATATGTACAGTACAGTCTCTTTGTATACAATATATTCTCTTTGACAAGTAGTCATTTTGTGCCACCCATTAAATTGCTAAGCAAAACCAAATATTATTCTTTTGTTTCTACCTTCAGACTAAGTCTTACTTTCATTGAATTTGTAAGCACTCTCAAAGATAATTTTTCATTTGGCACAAGTACAAAATGTCAGATAGCTTCCCTATGGTCTCTTTATGTCTTTTTTTTTCTTCAACAAGAAAAAAGGCTGGAGATCATTTAGCATTTTTGGAAAGAGCAAGAACAACATTTCTCCACCAAACCTCATAAATATTTGATTTATCAACTATCTGTAGTTGTACATTTTATACCAAGAACATCTATTTTCAAATATGCATATAACACTATGTAACAAAAATTGACTTTTTTCTCTTTCTGGTTTGAATGTGTTGTTTCCTGTTTAATTGTGTGGTACTTACTTTGAAAGTAGTTGTTATACTCCGAAAACTTCATTTTGTGGCTACCAAAAACTATGTTGAATTGGTCAAGACTGTATGAGATATTCATTGAAAAACTAGAGCCAAATGTGCTGTCGGATATCCTGCAAAAACAAATAAAGCCTTTCAATGTTTTTATGATAGAACCAATTAGAAAGTGACAGTTATGACCCAGGGACAAAAATCATGTTACATAGTGTAACCAAATACATTTGCCAGAGATGAGTTATTTGCTGCTTCTTCCTAGCTTCTTGCTAACAGCAAACTTGAGTTTACCTCTCCATAGTGTGTGAAATGAACATTTTATGCAGTAAAGCTTGTTATTAAATTTTAGTATCTGACTGAAATCCAACTAGGTTCCATCTGGTGGTGGTAGCCTTCCATCAGAGGAATGTGAAGGCAATTTTCAGTAGTTTCACAATCAGCCTACCCCTGGGGTCACTGCACTATTTCATATCTCTTAATCTGCTGCTCTAGGAGATCCCCCAACCTACTTAAACTCCTGCTTTCCGCAAGAGATGGAAACTCATTGGATCACATTCTTTTCTTGGGCATGGCATTTTTCCCTACCAGTAAAAATAGTAGTGGTTGTGTGGACTTTCATTGGGGAAATTGGGGAAATAAGGGAAATGTTGCCCCTCCACAGCCTTGATTTCCTCTTGCAGAACGCAGGGAAGCCTTTTGCGGGCCATGTTTGACCCATGGACCATAGGTTGTACAGGCCTCATTTAGTCCATGCACTCTTTATAGGACACTAGGAAAAAACTGAGTTAGATCCTGTAGTCAGGAATACTAAAAGGGAAAGAAGCCATGATGGATGGGAGTTTCTGAAAAGTGAGATATTAAAGGCACAATTTCAAACAGTTCTAATGAGGATTGACAACAGGCAGTGTCTAAAAAAAACAGAATTGATGTCTAAGACCCTTTCAGTTGAGGGACATGTACAAAACATAGGAAAAAGGACAGATCATTAAAGAAGAATTCACATAAATAGCCAGCATGTGTAGGGAGAAAGTTAGAAACAGCAAAGCGCAGAATGAGCTCAGCCTTGTTAGAAAGGATAAAAACAATATAAGGGCTTTTTTGCTTATGTCCATGGCAAAAGGAAGAAATGGTAGAGTCACTGGATACAGGTGATGGTGAAATGCTAACGGGATAGAGAAAAGACAGAACTACTCAATGTCTCCTTTGCCTCAGTCTTCTCCCAAAAAGTTAACAGTGCTCAACTTGGAGATAAAGAAGCAGATGATGAAGTAGGGGAAATGCAGCTTAAACAAATAAGAAGGCAATATAGGAATATCTGGCTCCAGAGCCAGTCGGTTATATCCAAAGGTATTGAAAGCACTAGCAAAAGTAATTTCAGAACTATTTGAGAAAACCTGGAAAACAGGAGAAGTTCTAGTAGTCTGAAGGAAGGGGAATGTTGTTCACCATCTTCAAAAGCAGAGAAAGAGGACCCAGAATTTATTTATTATATATTTATTTACAGTATTTATATTCCACCCTTCTCACCCCACAGGGGACTAGGGGTGGACTACAATGTACATATAAATGGCAAACATTCAGTGCCATACACACACAACATATATAGACAGACACATAGAGACTATTTAACATTCCAGCTTCATGACGGTATTCTGGCCACCAGGGGAGCCGTCACTTCACCGTCCACTTGTGACACTGATGAAGTACTTCCTCATTCTTTGCATGCTTGCTGGAGATTTTTATGGCATCGTAAATTAGCCTCCCCGCATAAGTAGTACCTAAATTTCCTACTTGACAGATGCAACTGTCTTTCGGGCGGTAAAGGTTGACAGCAAACTAGGCAAATTGGTCGGAAGCTCACTCCGACCCTGGCTGGCTTCGAACTCATGACCTTTTGGTCAGTAGTGATCTTAATGCAGTTGACTCCCAGCCAGCTGCGCCACAGTCCCGGTTGCTTTGTAATCAGCCTGACATCAACAACTGGGAAGGTTCTGGAACAGATAATGAAACAGACAAATCCGTAGATTGCCATACTCACGAAAAGTCAATGTGCATTTCTCAAAAATATCACGGCAGATGAACTTTATCACTTCAGTTGGTAGAGTTACATGCTTGGCCAGTGAATGTAGATGTAGCATATGTCGATTTCAGAAAGGACTTTGATAAGGTCTTCATGATATTATTTCAGAGAGGCTAGTAAGATGTGAACTAGATTATGCTTTCTGTTAAGTGGATTGGGAATTGGTTGAGTGGCTGAACCCAAAGGGTGCTCACCAATGCCTCTTCCTCATCCAGGAGAGGTGACTAGTGGGGTCTCACAAGTTTTTGTCCTGGGGCCGGCACTATTCAACATATTTTTCAATGACTTTGACAGTGGAATAGAAGGCATGGTTATCAAATCTGTAGATGATACCAAATTGGGAGGGATAACAAATAATAATGAGGACTGGATCAGAATCCAAAACAGATTAGAGAGCTGGTCAGAACTAACTAAATGAATTTCAACAAGGAGAAATGTGCAATACTACACTTAGGCAATAATAATGAAATGTACAGATACAGCATCTATAACACTTGGCTTGAAAACAGTACACACAAGGGGGATTTAGGAGTCTTAGCAGACCATAAGTTGAACATCAGTCTGTAACAGTATGATGCAGCAACTAAAAAAGCCAATGTGATTCTAGGCTGCATCAGTACAAGTACAGTGTCTGGATTTAGGGAAGTCATAGTCCCACTCTGTTCTGCTTTGGTCAGACCTCACCTGGAAGGCAGATCTGGGCATCACAATTCAAGAAAGGTATTGACAAGGTGAAACATGTCCAGAGAAGAGGGACTAAAATGGGGGGAAAGTCTGTAAGCCAAGCCCTATGAGGAGTGGCTGAAGGAGATGGGTATGTTTAGCTTGGAGAAAAGATTACTGAGAGCAGATATGATAGCCATGTGAGAAATGTTTTGGTGCTCTAGAGACTAGAACATGGAGCAGTGGATTTAAATTGCAGAAGAGATTTCACCTAAATATTAGGAAGGCCTTCCCAACAGTAAGAGCCATTCAGCAGTGGAATATGCTGCAAATATGGTAGAGTTTTCTTCTTCTGGAGTTTTTTTGTGCAGAGGCTGCATGGCCATCTGTTGGGAAGGCTT